CTGCGGTCCCCACCGTCCGAGCGTCCCCTGTGCTGTCCCAGCCCCCGATTCCCGCCGGCGCCTCCGCTACCCCCCACCGGCACGCCCCCTCATTGTTCCGCCTCGGCGCCGCCCCCCTCCCCCCAGCCCCGGGCCCCTCGCTTCCCCTCACCTCCCGGGGAGCTGCGGGCCCCGGGGTCGGGAGTCCGGCGCGTCTGGACCGTAACGCGCGGTCCCTGAGGAGGCTCACAGCCCGGACTCAGGGTCGTGAACTTGGGGGTCTCAGACTCCAGAATCCGGGGAGAAGTCTCGATGTTCTAAGTGGAAGATGCTGCAACCCTCCACTCGAGTCTCAGACCGGGGTGCTGGGAACACAAATTCCTGAGTCTTCTAGGTAGGGCTGTGTATGGTAGGGGGCCCGGGATTCCAGAGTTTCCAGTACCCTAGGGGCAGGGATGAAGTCACCTCCGGAGGGAGCGCAAGGACCCGCAAACTCCTCCGTCTCTTGGAAGTGATGGATGTTGCAGCCCTAAGTCGAGGAGTGAGGTCCGGTCCCCAAGTGGCTCCAGGAGGAGATCTTGGACTCAAGAGTTAGAACCCCAGGTGCGGGAGGGGGGAGATGCGCGGCTACGGATCCTACGGTCTTCAGGTCGGGTGCAGGGACGGGCCTCCAGCCTCAGAGCTGACGTCCGGGACCCGTGGCTCCTTCAAGAGGCGCTGGGCATCAGAGGTCCCGGCTCGGCGCGGCAGCCTGGACTTGCGGGTCTCTTTAAAGACCGGGATAGAGATCCCGGACGCCCGGGTCCGACACTCTGGACGTCTAGGGCTCCAGGATAGTTGCCCCGGGGCTCCGGGGGCGGCGGCGGCGCCGCATCTGGGGCGGGGAGAATCAGGTCCCAGATGTGGGGCGGGGGGCGGCCGCCCGAGGCTTCCCCTCCCCCTTGCCGCCGCTCGGGCTCACATCCTGTTCCCGCCCGCTGGGGGGGAGGGGCTGCCTTCCGGCACGCCCTCCCTCAAAGGGTTAAAACCCCCGCCCCCTACTCTGAATATTCGCGAGAGGGCGGGCCCAACGGCAGGCCACCGCCCACATTCCAGGGACCGGGAGGACTTTTACCTTTTACAGCACCGGCCGGCAAAGCGTGAGAATCAGGAATGGTTGCACTCTCTTGTTCTTATTGGTCGATCGGAAGGCTTTATAATTGCATATGCAATGTTGGGTGGAGCTGTCCAGCAAAGTCGCACGATTACGACTGACTGAAGGACTTAGTGGCGCAGGGGTGCGGCCGGAGCTCCAGTGGCGCAATCGGTTAGCGCGCGGTACTTATATGACAGTGCAAGCGGAGCAATGCCGAGGTTGTGAGTTCGATCCTCACCTGGAGCACTCTCTTTTATCCGGGTGTACTTTGTGTTTTCGCATCAGTTTTAGTAGTCTTCACATTTTGTAAATCATTTAAACGGCTCGTTTGACACAGGATCTCACCATATAACTAGGGCAGGCCTCGAACTTACAAGAGATCCTCTTGCTTCTGCCTCCTGAGTGCTGGAATTAAAGGTGTGCGCCACCATGCTAGGTACCTACAGCATTTTTGAAGAATGAACATTATTTCCATGTGAATTTTTTGCAGTGGTGGATTGGAACAGCCCCAAAGGTACAGTTTCCATTCTGGTCACCAGGGGGCAATATAACCCCTCATTAGATGGCCTGGGCATCGAATGGAATCTAAACCTCAGGTCCTAGAGATGGATGGTTAGAACAGGTTTTGCCTCTTTTCGAATATTTCTTTTTCAGGTTTCTAAATCAATTTTTTAAAACACATACTAAACACTCATTAGGTACTGTTCCTCCTGTCCCTGAAGACTTGACTTTTTACCAAAGAGATTGCTACAAATCTATGAATTAACTACATAGTTTGACTTTTACCATGTTGCCCAAAGTGGCCTCAAACTCCTGTCTCCATCACCATCTGCGAGTGTGAGTCTATTTTTAGATTAAGTAGTGATAAATATGGAGCAAGTAGAGCAGGATGGGATGGGGACTGTCACAATAGTCAGTGATCCTTTTCTTTTGATTTTGTTTTTGTTTCTTGAGACAGGGTTTATTTGTGTATCCTTGGCTGTCCTGGAACTTGAACTCAAGAGATCTGCCTGCCCCTGCTCCCGAGTACTGAGATTAAAGGCCTGCACCACCAGTGCTTGGCTCCTAGTTTTGTTTTATGTGTATGGGTGTTTGTTTGCATGTTTGCACCATGTTGCATACTTGGTGCCCCAGGAGACGGGAGAGGAAATGGTAGATTCCCCTGAACTTGAGTTACAGAGGGTTGTGAGCTATGTGGTGCAGGGAATGAAACCAGATCCTCTGTCTGAGCGGTGTTCTTACGTTGATCCATCTCTCCAGCCCCAGGGAAGATCTTTAAACAGACACCTGGAGGAGGGGAATGAGTCGAGGGAACACTAGGGAGAAGTTCCAGCTAACACCCTAGGGCTGAAGACCAGAGCAAGGAGAGAGGTGTGTTTGTGTGAGCGCGCGTCTGGCTCATGCGCGCGCATGCGAGAGACGCGGATCCAGACTGTGGTGAGGCTTTAGGACTTTGACTCTTGGTGATTTTACTCCGGTGTTGTAACAAACTTCCCTGCTCTCCTAGGGGAAAGCAGCTAGGGGTGGGGGTGGAGCACAAAGAGCAGTTACTTTTTTTTTTTTTTTTTTGAGACAGGGTTTCTCTGTGGCTTTGGAGCCTGTCCTGGAACTAGCTCTTGTAGACCAGGCTGGTCTCGAACTCACAGAGATCCGCCTGCCTCTGCCTCCCGAGTGCTGGGATTAAAGGCGTGCGCCACCACCGCCCGGCAAAGAGCAGTTACTTTGAGACCTGGGTAGGGGCAAGGTAGCTTTCGATGAGGGGCTCTGGGAGCTGGAGTGAATTGTGGATGTGGGCGGGGTGTCCAAGACAGATCTGACCGTCTAAACAACGGGCTTGTGTCATGATTCGTTTAAAAAATATTTGTTTTTGCCGGGCGATAGGAGCCCGTCCCTTTAATCCCAGCACTCATGAGGATCTCAGTGAGTTCGAGGCCAGCCTGGTCTACAGAGTTCCAAGACAGCCAGCTACACATAGAGATCCTGTCTCAAAACAAATCGTTTTTATTTTATGCATAGGAGCGCTTTCCCTGCACACAACTAAGTACACTGCCAGCACGCCTAGTGCCCAAGAAGGCTTTGTAGACGCTAAGTAGGCCCTCTGCTACATCCTCAGCTCATAGTGTCTGTTTGTTAAGAACAAGAGGCTGTTATTTTTAGGGGGCAGTGGGTAGCGGGGAGACGAGTGCCAGGGGCGGTAGCTGTGTGGTTCTTCTAATGTCCATCCATCCGCCTCTCTCAAATGTCCAGCACTGCTTGAACTCATTCTCTCGACCTTCCCGACGCCTCTGGGTCTTGGAGTTTCTGTTTCCCTCTCCCAACCCTGTTCCACATACCAGGGCCTGAGACTTTCCCACAAGGGAGGCATTTCCTGGAAGAGGAGACCAAAGGTCAGTAGAATGGAGTGAAAGACAGGCAGGGCTTGGGGAGAGAAGAGCGAGGTTAAGGGTACGGTTAGCGGAGGAAGGACAAAAGAACGGAGAGGGGAGCAACTCGGAAGCAGAGGGCCTAGCAGACATTGCTACTGCGTGAGCCTGTCTGAAAAGCAAGTCCAATAAAGTCCTAGGGTCTGAGAGGCGGAGGGAAAATAAGGAGGAGCATAACAGTAGGTGGGAGGAGTTAGGGAGAAGAAGAAAGAAAAGAGGAATGAGGGGGTGGAGGCTGAGGTGGTGGTTGGGGGCGGAGGAGAAAAGGAGGGGCTGAGCGCAGGCCCTGACGCGGGCCCCTTCCGGGCGCGGCCCGCCCAGCTAGGGCTGGCCGTTGCCGCGGTCTCTTGCCTTGTTTGGTCGGAGGACGCGGCTGCCCTACCCATGCGCCCTGCGAGCTGAAGCAGACGAAGCTCCGGAAATGCCAGATTGCGATCGGACCCAAGGTTCTGGGGTCTGCAGATGCTAGAGGGCCGCGACCCCAACAGTGTTTGCACTCCCAATTTGTCAAGTCCCGGAACCCGAGAGTCCTAATAGAGCCCGGAATCCTCGCACTTCTTTAAAACCCCTACCCCAAACCCGGAGAGAGCGTGTCTACAGTTCTAAACATTCATGAGATTACGGCAAAGAGTTACAGGCCGCTCGGGGTTCAGAAGGAGACCCAGGCTTCCCTTCTTTCCCGGCATAAGTAAATAAATAAGTTCCATAGAGGCGGGTAAGAGGGCTTAGCAAGTAAAGGCTCTGCTGCCAAGCTGGAAGATCTGGGTCTATCCCCGGGACCCACTTTGTGGAAGAGAACGGATTCCTGTAGGTTGTGTCCTGACCTCTACACTAGTTCGCGCACGAGCGCTCACACGTACACACGGCAAAGCGTTAAAAAATGAAGTCGGGCGTGGTGGCTTGCGCTTGTTATCCCAGCATTTCAGAGGCTGAGGCAGGAGGTTGCCGAGAGTTCCAGGCCAGCTTGAGCTAGAATCGACTTTGTTTCAAAACAAACAAAAAACTAAACTAAACTAAAAAAAAAATATATTAAGTCCTTAGTCAAGAATTTGAAGTCCACCCCCGCTCTCTCCGCCGGGTGCAGGGTCTCCTAGGACCCGGCTTCGGGGTGACCCCCTGCCCCGGCTCGCGTTCCGGCACATTCCGTCCTCTCCGCCCCGCCCCACCCCGCCCTCCACCCTTGGCCCCGTGGGGACGGAAACATCCCGTCCCTGCCTGAGCTGGGTCAAGAGCCGGAGGGACAGGCCTGGAGCGCCCCCAACGCCGGGAGAACTAGCTCTCCTTGTTCCTAGTGGGTGACCTCATCTCACCACGCCCCCTCAGGTGAACAACCGAAGCTGGTAACGTCATTTCCTGCCAGGTAAGCGCCACCAGGTAGCACATCTCCCTAGCAAGTGTGGATCAGTTTATGTACCGTCCCGTGGCTGTATGCCGTAGCAAAAAAACAAACAAAACAAATTCCATCTCAGCTCACACAAGATTTTATTTAAAAATTCCAAAAATCCACAAAAATAGACCTGTAAGGTAACAATATATTACTTAATATATTATAGTATACTTTATACAGTATCCATTTTAATATTACAAAAAGGGAAACGAAGTAGACGACCCAATATATATAAATACTATAAAATCTTATTACAATAAATAAAGTCGTCATAAATAAAGGGCCCACTGGTTGGGGAAGGGATTTGGCAATGGCTTTGGCTATTTTCTTTCGGAGGGAAATTTGAGCACCAGGATTCTCCCTCAGGGGAGGATTCAACCACCAGACACTGAACGTGGAACCTCGGGGTCTAGTAAAAACTGGGATGGGGTTGTGGGAGCCAGCTCTTCACAGCACTTTCCAATTCCAGGAAACCAGAGTTGGGGAGGGGCTGGTGCACACCTAGATAACTCCACAACTGGGAAGGAAGCTAAGGAAGGCTTTTCTAGAGTTCAAGGACAGCCAGGGCCACACACCAGCGCCTCTCTCAGAAACAACCCAAGAAGACCAACTGTCAACTGTGTCCCTCAAATATGCTACATCTTAGGGATCCTGGGAAGCAATCCAAACACTGAGCTTGCAAACTAGGGACCTGCCCCAGCACAGCACCAGGGGAGGGTTAATGCTTTCTGGAATGTCAGGGAGGAGGCACTTACTAACAGGAGTCTCCCTAGGCCTCCACAGCAATAAGCGCCACCCTCCTTGAGATCTAGCTGATCCATACTGGGTAGGCATTTGTCACTCAGAGACGGAGATGCGATTGAAGATGGGGAGACGCTTTGGGGGTGCAGGGGGCTGGGGAGGCCCAAACACCCCAGCCTCAAAGACGGGTGAGTCTGACCCACCCAGGCTGCTACCGCTGCTGGCATAATCATCAGGATCGGATCCCAGGGAGTGTGCAGACGGGCTCCGAGCCAGGCCACCCAAGGGCCCCCAGATGGTGCTAGGGGTAGACCTTCTGCAGGAGGGGCAACAGGCTGGAATAGGGTCTCTTCGAGACACAGGGGTCCCAGGGGCAGCAGAGAAAGCAGAGGGGGAAAGCGGAAGGTCCCCAGGTGGTGGTGGGGAGCAGGAGGGCGAGAAGGAGCATGAGGACAGGGAAGGGTCGGGAAAGCCAGGTGGTGGTGGTGAGGTTCTGCGGCCTGAGGGCAAGCCTGAGAAGCTGATGCTTTGGCGAAGCACGTGGGGCTGGCCCGGAGCAGCCAGGTCCTCGTTGGGGTTGTGGATGAAGTGGCATCGAGAGCCATAGGGACAACGGCCCTGGAGGTAGAACTTGTGGCAGAGTTCCGTTTTGTACTTGGGATGGCGATTGGCCTGGCGCAATTCACCCAGGCCGTGGGCAAACTGGCACTTAGCCCCGTATCGACAACGCCCGCTCTCTGAGTAGGTCCGACAGAGCTCAGTCTTGTATCGAGAGGAGGTGGTGGGAGTTGCAGTAGGCGAAGTAGGTGAGGGTGACAGTTCAGGGCCCGGGCGGGGAGCCAAGGGTGCGAAACCAGGGGGTGGGGGTACCCAACCACAGCTTCGGCCCTCCACCAGGCTGGTGGAGCGGCCAGTCAGGCGAGAAGTGACCCCAGATGGGATGGAGTCAGACGAGTTTATGCTCCAAAGTGCTGAGGGCTCAGTCCCTCCGTGGTCGGATGAGAGGTCAGGGTTCAGCGACAGGAGGCTCTGAGAGAGGAATAGGGTTGTTGGTTAGGCCACCAGAAAAGGAAAGGTGACGACGCCCCGCCCCAATTGTAAAGAGCTTCACAAGCTTGCCATTCCGGTTTGTGGGTTCTCGGCCTGAGCCCCACCCGGATCACACAGACTCCAGGGAGAACCTGATTTGAGTGTTTCAACACGACTAAAGCTAATCCAGAAGGATTTTGGAAGCCCAGTATCCCCGACAGAACACGAGACGGGACCCCCAAACCAGAGCACACACCCCTGTACCCCAATTTTGGGCCTTTAGACCTCCCCGGATATGACCGCCCATGGTCGCTCCAGTTTCACAACTTGGAGGAACCGGCCAAAGTCGACCCAGGCCAGATCGCTCTAGAACTCTGACCGAGTCAACTTCCCCCTCAACCCTACACCCCCTAGGGTGCCAAACTGCGCCAGAGGCAGCGAAAGGAACCAGGCAGGTGTGGGGCTGCTTCCGCCCCGCGCCAGTGACAGCAGTGCGCCAGCTTTCCGTCCCCGGGGGCCCGTCGATATCCCTTTCTCACTTCCAGCCAGTTAGGGCTGGACTGAGAAGGAAGGCGGGAGTCCATGGCCTAAGTTTGGGGTGCCGGGGACCCGGGCGTGCCGTCTAGCCTATACTCACCTCATAGATGGCAGAGAGATCCATGGTGGCGCGAATGGCCATGGAGAGTAGACCGACAGTCGGGCCGCAAAAGTCTGGCTGTGGCCCGCAGCGAGAGCTTTCGCCTTTTATAGATCTTTCCGTCTGGGCGTGGCCAAGGGAGCTTCCCGGACGCGCCCCCGCGCCGTAGCCCCGCCCTCCGGGTTCTAGGCCCCTTCCGCCCCTCTGCTGGTTATTTTGCTGAATGTGCCTGAATTTGGCTGGCGGGCAACCCCAGCCCCTCTCAGGAGGTAGTGGGGTGTATCTAAGACTGACTGGTGGTGATGGTAGTGGGGCGTCTGAGTAGTTTTCAAAGGTTGAAGACAGTGGGGAAGGGAACTGGGGCAGAAGTGGGGGCAGGGCTCCAGGGACAATTGACAAGGGCAGGGACTGAGAAGAGGGCGTGTGCGTGTGAGACAGACGGGGGCGGGGAGAGACAAACTGGAAGAGACAGAGATTGCCAGAAGCCGAGAGAAAAACAAAGAGACGGAGTGAGAGACACATGCAAGTTAGGCCAGCTGGTTTAGGACTGTGGTTCCAGCCACTCCGGGAGGCTGAGGCAGGAGACTAGTAAAATTCAAGGCCTGGCTGGACTAGAGAGTCAAAAATGAATTCTAGGTCAGCTTGGGTAACTTAGTGAGAGCTTCGTTTTAAAAAAGTTAAAAGGGTTAGCCAGGCAGATCTCTTGAGTTTGAGGCTAGTCTGGCTGACAGAGCTAGTGCCAGGACAGCCAGGGCTACTCAGAGAAACCTTGTCTCGAAAAAGCAAACAAAAAACAAGTAAAAAGGGTCAGGCGGTAGAAGTACACACCTTAAAACCAGTTTAATCCCAGCACTCCCGGAGGCCGAGGCTGGTGTGTCTCTGGAGTTCAAGGTTAGCCTGGTCTACCGAGTGAGTTCCAGGCTAGCCAGGGCTAAGTAGAGAAAAACCCTGTTTCAAAACACCCCCCCCCCCGCCGGGGGAGGGGGGGGAGCCAGTGGCCTGTGGCTGTAATCAGGACACTTCAGAGGTGGCGGAAACAAGAGCAGGCGGTCAGTGCCAGTCCCAGCTATCGATCGAGGTCCAGGTCCTATTTCTAAAAAGAGAGAAACTACTGAGGTGGGGGCGGGAATAAAAAGAAGGCTCGGCGCTCGAGCGGTTTCTTGGCTCTCCTTGGCTTCAGTACCTATTCCCGAAAGGAAAACAAAGAGGCTGGAGAGACGGTAGGGAGAGGGTGTTGGGGGAACAAAGGTAAAGAGGAAGTGGGTTACAGAAAGATAAAAAGCAAAGGTGAAATAAAAACTAAAACCTCCAGGCGCAGAACCAAGGAGGCTGGACAGGGCCCCTTTCCCCAGTTGCGCTTTCAATTATTAAGAGCCTTCGTTCCCGAAAACTCACGGTTGGAATAGCTTGAGTCTTTTATTAGGGAGGAAGCTCGCCTCCATTGAAAAGGGTGGGGGGCACTGGGCACCTTCAACGTTGAATGGGTCTCTTGTAATGTAAGCAGTCTTAACTAAAGTTTAAATTCTCTCGAGGATCGTTCTCCATCAGATCTGTAAGGTTTTTGTTTTTCAGCAGGACCTCCTGGCTGGCCTGGAACTCGGGATCTTCTGGTCCCCACTTCCCAAGTAGTGTTAGGATTAGAAGTATGCCCCGCCGCCACACCCAAGTTTTAAAAAAGTGTTTCTTCAAGGGTATCACCAGTGAAAAAGTGTATTTGGGTACGGAGGTTATCATTGCTAGAAGTGTAATTACAATGTTGGGAAGTTCTTGCACGGTGCGTTGCGCACTTGTATTGAGGTGGGGAGATTCGGCTAGGCTTCTCACTGGTTTGCTTCATCGGAGCCCGGGGGATGGGGGGGAATCCCTGGTGCAGCGCTTTCTGGGGCCAAGGGGCCTTCCTGGGCTGGTCCCGTGAGCTGGGCGGGCCCTAGGCTGCTGTGGCACGGTTGCGGCCTCCCGCTCGCCCGTGACTCACTCGCTTAGGGCGCGGGGGGGAGGGGGGGGCTTCCTGGAAGCCGTGACGAGGACGCTCAGCCCGGACGCTTGGGTTCCTCTCCTGTAACCAGGGCTCCAGTCTGTTGTAAACAGCCTCGAGGACAACGGGAAAAGAAGGGAAGGAGGGGCCCCAAAAACTTGCCTCCCGCCCAGTTTACAAATCCCTGAGCCAGCCGATTTTAAGACCAAGCGCAGGGAAAGGGGGTTGGGGTGGGGCATGCTGGGGTTTTCGGAGGCCAGCTGGGTCTGGATCATGGAGAAGTAATTCCAGTTTCGATTCCCTGGGGACTGGGAGCTTTTGCCATCCCTGACTCAACTTGGACCCCTTCTCTATCTGCTGAGTCACTGGGACGAAAGCCTGGCTGCCTGGGTCTCGGCTACTCTCCAAAGGGTGCTGGGGTGGGGGGCAGAGGTGTAAGAATGACGATCCTCTGAAAATCATGACTTTAGAAGCAGTAGGACTCACGAAGTGAGACGTCTTTATCTTAGAATACCGGGTCAGGTGCTCGGCTCTTCCCTGCTCCACCACCACCCCTCTCTTCGCTTGGCCAGGGATCCAGACACAGGTGATCTTAAGTGGGGCATGGCCTCCTTCAGACGCAGGCGTCCAGGCCCCACTCATTCCCTTAGAACCCTGGCCCTCCTCCTCAAACCTAGAGGCGTCCAGGCCCCACTTCCCCCTCACACTTGATATCCAGGCCCCAGCCCTTATTCTCTGGAAATAAGGGTCCTGTCCAACTCCAGCTTGGGTGTCCTCATCCCAGCAGGAAGTTCATGGCCTGACTCTTCCCAGCTCCCCACGTAGCCAGCGGGGAAAATCCGCGGCCCTGGCAGTGGCCGGGAATCCCCTCTGGAATGACGGTGGGGAAGGGGTGGGGGGATGGCCAAGGTCTTGCGAGGCACTCGGCCTCGTCCTGTGCGCGCTGGGGTGGGGGCTGGGGGAGCGAAAGGGGGTGGAAACCAGAGAGGCTAAAAATATAGCAAGCACTTCCGGCCGAGGTGAACGGGGGGAGGAGAACTTAGAGCTGAGTTTCCAGAAAAACAAGCGGGGACAGGAAACCTGGGGGTGTGAGAGCCGGTGGGCCGGCGGGTAGGCGGGCTAGGGCCCACGTACTCCTGGCACGTGTGGGCCTGTCGTGATTGCCTGTGAGTGTGGTCTAGGCAGGGTGTTGCAGGGGAACAGCCAATATGCCAGGCTCCAGCGGGAGGGAGGTGTGCTTGCTACATGTGTGTTGTGGGGAGTCTTAAAGTTTCTAGGTAAGCAATTGGGGGCTTAGGTGCGGGCGACAAGTCTCTGTGTGTGACCTGTGCTTAAGGCCCCCATAGAGCAGGATTCTGTAAAAAAAAAAAAAAAAAAAAAAGTGAAGCCACCTGTGTGCCACTGACTAGATAGACCCTGTGTGCTGCAAGTGGCCTCCGGAGGATTGTCAACTGTAACTCCTGCAGCTGTCTTTGAGGGGCTTCGTGGGAACTTCCACCCCACCCATCTGTGTGTAACGGAACCGCTGTGAGAGGTGTGACTTAAGTGTGTCATTCCTAGCAGGTGCCTGGGTGATAGGATTCTGCATGCAGGACCTTGAAGTAGAGTATGGGCTTTCTGTGGCTCGCCTGGCCCTGTTGTACCATGTATACAAATGGTATTTGTGGATCTGTTCTTATTTGTGGCTGTCTTGGAGGTTGCCTGTTCCTGAGTGTGGTAGACATAGTTCCTCTATGGACCAGTCACAAGGCAGTGGAAACCAGTGGACTTTGGTGCCTGACGTAGCAGCCGGCACATGATGGGGCGAGTTGCTGGGGTGCTGGTTGTGTTGTGCTCTTGCGTCTGCCTGTGGGCAGAACAGACGTGCACACACCCGCACCTAGATACTGAGTGTCTGAGCCAATCTTTTTTTTTTTTTCTTGTCTGAGCCAATCTTATCTGTCCCCAGTGAATGAGGCTGCTCTGCCACAGAGCTGACTCAGCATGTGATGGGCAAAGTCTCGATGGGTGAGAGATAGCGGGTTAAGTGGTGGTTACAGGGTTCGGTAGTCACGTGGTCAGATGGTTGCTTTAGTACTTGCTCACGGAGCAGGGTCCATGTATGTGGGAGGATGGCCGGTGTGCTAATCCCTACTGGGCGGGGGTGGGGAGCGTGCCCATGGTCAGCCTGCAGATATGAGACGCAGATATGGGACTTACAGCAGCCTCCTACCCCTACCTCTCAAGTGCTGAGATTCCAAGCATGAGCCACTTTGGCTGGCTCTGTGGTTTCTCATCTCATACATAGACCCTCCCTGGCGTGGGGTTTTACACAGGCCTGTACAACTTCTCTGTGCCGGTAAGGTCAGGAAAAGGCCCTTTCGTGACTCCATCTAGGCTTCCTCCCCTGTGCTCCCTGAACCTAGCTAAAACTTCTTCACTCTTTGAGAACACATTCCCGTCAGAGGCTGGCCAGTGCTCTGTGCTTCTCTACACTTTTGCTGGTGGTATCCGTAAGATCTAATACCTTCTCCCCTCCAGCCTGCTGTCACCTGCCTAGCAAGGGTTTCTTTGACAGAGTGCCTATTTCTGCCCAGGTGGTCTCAAACCATCCTCCTGCCTCAGGCTCTCAAATGCTAGTCCAAGTGTAGGCCACTAATGCACTTCTTTTTTAAACAAGTGTGTGTGCAAGTCAGAAGACAACTTGAGGCAGTTCCCTCCTTCCAACATGCAAGTCCCAGGGACTGAACTGAAGTCACCTAACTTGGTAGCCAAGCGTGGTTACCCATGGAGCCACCTCAAGGGCCCAGACACCCATCTTTTTTCTCTTTGGAGACAAGATCTCACTTATGTAGCTGTCTGGACTCAAAACCTGCATTGGTCCTCCTACATGCTGCTATTACAGGCTTATGTACCATGCTGCATTTTGTTAATCTCTAGGAATATAAGAATCTTTGCTCACATTGCACAGGGCTGCCATCTTTTTTGAATGACTATAGCTTGGTGCCCATCTTCTATAGTGTGGGATTGTGGAATATACACTGTTGCCCCATGGTCTGCTGTCACCTTGAGTATGGTTTTAAGCAGTTGGACCTTGTATCTGATGCTAGATGCCACACCTACCAGCATGTGGTATGTTGACATC